GCTTTGGCACACCCCCCCCCCCCGCCCCCCGACTTTTGTTAAATGAATGAATACTGGGCTTACCGGTTAATAATGCGGATACCGTTTAGTAATGCGGATTGACCCACTACCGGTTAAAAATTCGGATTTTTGTCATCAAAGAAAACACAATTTCTAGAGAAACATCAAAAGTGCTTTGTTGAAAGCACGTTTTGAAGCGCTGTTCAGAAAGTGCGCGTGCCGTCGATCGGAACGAGTGGTCATCCGAGAGAGCAATACAGCAAAACAGCACACATACCACATCGCATACATATCCACACGTGTGTGACCCCCTCTATTGAAAAGAATCCGCATTACTAACCGGTCCACCTGGTGGAGTGTTAGCCGGCTCCATCCCTCCCAGCTCACGTGACTTGGGGCCGGATGCATGTGGATGCAGATGTGTGTCGGCTGCAGAGGACCCTGCTGTGTTAGCAAAGACCGTTTTAAGGTTGATGAGTGAGAATGAGAGGTCAGGTCTTTTTTCTTTTTCTCTCTCCCCTGTCCTTAGCCCTTGGCGCATTGTGGACGACTGTGGAGGGGCCTTTACCATGGGCACCATAGGCGGCGGTATCTTCCAAGCGGTCAAGGGTTTCCGCAATTCCCCAGTGGTGAGTGGTGTCTCATTTTATCGCCGCCTGAAACCGGGGCTCGCTACCGTCGCCAACGGGGCCCCGCCGGTGGGTTGGAAGCCGTGTTCTTTGAATACACCTCTGTCTGCCTTTCCACAGGGAGTGAGCCACCGGCTGCGAGGGAGTTTGACGGCCGTTAAAACCAGGGCTCCGCAGTTGGGAGGTAAGAAAGCAGCTTTCCCATTCGTGCTCCAGGCTTTTCTGTTGGTCAGAAGACGAGGCTCTACCCACTGAGCAACATGGGCTAGGGCTGAACGTATTTTTCATTATGACACTTTAAATGTAAGATGAGAAGGTAAAGTTCGAACAGTTTTGCTTTGACATAAAACAGGTAGCTTTGCGGTGTGGGGAGGTCTGTTCTCCATGATCGACTGCAGCCTGGTTCAGGTCCGAGGGAAGGAGGATCCCTGGAACTCCATCACCAGCGGGGCCTTGACGGGAGCCATCCTGGCCGCCAGAAGTAAGCACCGCACAGACGCCGTGGACACGACGGCGGGGAGCCCCTGTGTCTTAATTTACTGATGTCTGGAATGTGTAAAACGCGGCATCGCTTGAGTTGGTACAGCGTGAGTGTATATGGCGATTGGGGGAGAGTGAGAGGGTCCGTGAGGAGTGTGCGAGCGTGAGCGAGGAGCCCTGACCCGCACGTTCCAGCGGCTGAGAGCAGCTCACGTTCTGGGTCACGTCTGCCTGCTCCTGGCTTCTCTGGACTTAGTCCTGGCTGCTGTCGCACGGGGCGGTTAGGGATAAAGTGTGTAGAGCCGTCTTCTGGATCTTTGGGACGGAGAGGGACCCAGAATCCCTTTGGGCTTCGTAGTTCGGGCCAGGAGTCGGCTCGCTGGGTGTAGAGTCGGGTGGTGACGGTTTGGGGCTTTGTGGGCCGGGAGGTCCGTGTTGCAGCTCTGCAGCTCAGGTATCCCCGCGCGGAAGCCACCCCCACACCAGTGGGTGAGCACAGCCGTCCCAGGAAGCGCTGTTGACGTGAACGGCGGGGAGCGGGGTTGGCCTGCAGGCCCCTGGGCTCCGCAGTGGGAAAGGGCTTGGGAGGGGTTGGGGTGCAGCCACATGACGGCTCTGTCCTTCACTGCGTCTGCCTTAAGCCAGCTCTCTGTTCACGTGATCTCTGTTGTCCGTGTTCCCAGATGGACCGGTGGCCATGGTGGGCTCAGCCGCGATGGGCGGCATCCTTCTGGCTTTGATCGAAGGAGCTGGCATCTTGTTGACGAGGTTTGCCTCCGCACAGTTCCCCAACGGTGAGTCTCTTTCTGCTGCATCCGTCCCTCAGACATTGGGAATGGCTTCCTGGTGTTTAAAGGAAGCGCGTTTTGTCTGTAACATGGTCGTTTGCGGCTTATTTTCTGTGTTGATGTGCTGTGGGTCAGGGCTCAGTCATGTCCGGCACCGTCGCCAAAATGCTGTGGTCAGATAACGGGCTGATCTTCCTGATGGTCTCAGGTTCTATCAGTGCTCACGTGCTCCCGCTGAGAAATTGCTGGTCATGTTAGAGGGGCTTGAAAATGTATGACCAGAATGGCCGTCAGTCCTCACCTGTCCGTGCGGACGCACCTGGCCCTGTCCGAGGTGCTGGAGACACCATGCGAACGTGGACTTATATCCGGTGGGAAGGCGACCAGCGCATTCACAGCTAAATGCGGTTGTTTGCTTGTGTCCCTGGCTTTGAAGAGTGGTGGAGAGTGACTCCTGCCTGGGAGGGTCCGTCTTGGGTTCTCAGGGAAAGGATTTCTGTGGCTCAGTGTTCCTTTTTCCGACGAATCGGGGAGAGGTAAATTGTGTGCTGAGGGGTCCTCGTGTGCTGGGCTGTGAGCGTGTGCCGAGCCGTGTAGCTGTGGACGACTCGATCGGACGCAGCGGTGAAGCTCTGACCTGCCTCTCGGGCGCCCTGTGCAGGACGGGGGGACACAGTGGTAGGGAGTTATCTGGGAGCTTGGACGAGATTCCGCGTAGACTTAGGAGTGGATCCAGCTCCCCGTTCGCTTTGTCTTCCCCAAGGCACTCGCGAGAGATTCCGCGTCTGGGCAGGTTTCAGACGCACGGCTGGTGGGATGCGGTGGGACTGGGCCCTGGCGCTCCTGCTCTGTGGTCAGCCGTTGCTTTGGGGTTCGCACTGTGGGGCCGGCCGCTGGCTAGTTTGTTTTCTCACTCAGGGCTGTTCTCACACCAGGCTCGGGGGGCTCGCGTGGGAGGTGGCAGGGCTACAGGGGTTCAGGTTGCGGACTGTGTACACAGCATTTTCACTGCGCTGGCTACTGTACTTCCTTCAGAGGCTTGTTCTTAATGTGCAATATTCGAGCGATTTGTAAAACTCTCTTCTCTGAACTGCAGGGCCTCAGTTTGCTGACGACCCCTCCCAGCTGCCCGCGGCCCCGGCCCCGGCCCCGCTGCCGTCCTCGCCGTTTGGTGACTACCGGCAGTTCCAGTAGGACTCCTCCCAGCGGGTGCGGGCACGGCTCTCAGGACGTCAGGGCAGGCGGCTCCAGGCCGGAGGTGGGACAGCTGCGGCCACAGAGGCCACGAAGAGACTTCTGGCGTTTTCTCTATTTAAAGGAACATGGGGTGGGGTGTTAAAGGATAATCCACTTATTTATTCGCCCTGGAGGGCGTCCGTGATCAAAGTGTCTGATACCTTTAAGAAAACGTTAAGTGCCGAGAAGGTGCAGGAGCACAGGCATACGGCGTGCGCTTGGCCCCCAGCTCCTCGGGGACTCCTGCCTGGCTCGGTGCTCTGTCAGTCAAACAATAAAACTCCTGGAGCTTGCTCCTTCGATGAGTCGTAGGCTCTGCCTCTCGCCCGCCAGCACGCCGGGGACGCAGCCTGCCGAGGGTCGAGGGGCTGGTGTCGGCCGTCTCCCTGGGGTGAGTGGTGCGTGAGGGGGCCCTGCAGCCGCCTGGATCCTTCCACAGTAGCTACTCCTGGATGGAAGGCAAGGCCACGCCCTCCACTGCACGAGGAAGGGGGTCAGTCCTCAGACCCGCCCTGTGCGGTGCTGACACCTCCCCGCCCAGCCCCTGCACCCCAGCGGGTTTCCGGGCGTCTGGTCCTTGTGTGTGTCCCTGGAAGAGCCGCCGTGCTTTCCCACAGCGGCTGCACCGTCCTGACTCCCACCCGCCATGCAGGAGGGTTCTGTTTTCCATTCCTGCCTACACTGTTACTCCTTTTTCAAAAGTGTCGCCTCCTCGAAGGGGTGCGTGGGGTGCTGCCTCGGTTTTGTGTGCATTCTAACGGCCATTGCCTCTGTGCTCCTGGCGTTTGCATGTCGGTGCAGATGTGCTTGTCGGTCTGTAGCTCCTCACGCTCAGAGGGGCCGGTGACCAGGAGAGCGGCGTGAGGATAAGGCCGGGAACGGCGGAGAACCCGGTCAAGGGCTAAACCCCCCAAGGCTATCGCGGTTCCGAACGTCCGTTCCTTATGGATCGGCCCCGGTGGGGTGTGTGTGTGTGTGGGATGCGCACGTGTGTTTGCCATTGTCTGAGGGAACTGTCTTCAGCTCTGCACATCGGGAGCCGTCCTTGGGCCCAGGGGAACTTTGTGGAATTGGGGGTGGGGGGAAGGAAAGCCTGAAACGATGGAAGACCAGCTCTTTCTGGGGAGCTTCCCATGTGGTCCCTGTGCGTGCAGGATGCTGGTCTGGCGGGGTGGAGGGGGGCAGACAGGAGGGGGGCTGTGCCAGGCAGGGGCGGCCTCCCCAGGCAGGAGCCCAGTGAGGCAGGAGCCCAGTGATGACAGGTGCTCAGTGAACAGTGGGTCTCGGCTATGCTCCCCTCCCCCTCCCCGCAGTCACACGCAGGAAGCTCTGACATTGGAGCTGAACGCTCCCCTTTGTTCATCTCTCCCAGCGCGGCTCTTCCGTTCCTGTCCTCATAGGTTTTACCACAAAAACCTGCTGGAATTTTATTGAATGAAGTTTGGTCAGTGTTCCATCATTTTTTAGCACAAACATCGCGCACACCGTGTTTTGTTAGATTTAAACCTCGGAGGCAGGAGCCCAGTGAGGACAGGTGCTCAGTGAACAGTGGATCCCGGCTCTGCTCCCCCCACTCCCCGCAGTCACACGCAGGAAGCTCTGACATTGGAGCTGAACGCTCCCCTTTGTTCATCTCTCTCAGCGGCGGCTCTTCCGTTCCTGCCCTCATAGATTTTACCACAAAAACCTGCTGGAATTTTATTGGAATGAAGTTTGGTCAGTGTTCTGTCATTTTTTAGCACAAACATCCCGCACACCGTGTTTTGTTAGATTTAAACCTCGGCACTTCATTTTTGAGTGTGCTACTTGAACGGTATTTTTAAATTTAAAATTTTATTATTACTGAGTAGAAATGCAGTTGATTTCACGTATTGTGTCCTGTAACCTTGATGAACTCATGCTTCTCATCAGTTCTGGAAGATCTCCAGCCCTTTATTTTGAGATGTCCGAGGTGTTACATTCTAGGCATTTAAAGTGAATAGCAATGAAGCAGTTTGGGGAAGGGGTGGGTGGTCCCCTCAGTGCTCTGCCCCTCCCGGCCGTGGCCCAGCACACGGATCGTCACGGCCTGTTTTCTTGCCTGGTAAGGGCGCTAAACGGAGCCCAGCACCGGGCTGTGCCGAACTTGCTAACGTTGTCCCGCACCCGGCGAATGGCTGCTGTGTGGTGTGCGCAACAGAAATGCTTTGCGACAGAGAGGGAGTCATTCCAAGGCGGAGCTCTGATCGCCAATAGGTACCGGGCGCTGTGATCAATGCCGCGGCGAAGGGGTTTTCCAGTTTGCGGATTTCACTAACCACGACGAGGAGAGAGAGAAGCTGACCTTATATGGAATTTTTAAAAAACCAATAAGCGGTGCATAAAATAAGTATTTTCACACCAGGACGCTGGGAAACATGATATGATACTATTTCCTTTTATGAAAAACTCTGGGACGGGGGCGTGGTCCCGGCTCAGATTTCTGGAGGGGGCGTGGCGCGGTTCCTGCTCAGAACGCGGGCTCTTCCCAGACGGAACTGCAGGTCCCAGGGCGCGGGGCCCGAGCCCCCAGCCAAGGGCCACTGGGCTTCTGCTTTAGGGGGGCCGGGGGCCCAGCCCGATGCTGACTCAGGGCCACAGGCAGGTCATGACTTGCTTGACTTCTGGGAAGTCCTGGTTTCGATGATCAAAGTCCGAACTGGACTTAGAGTGGGCAGTAAGGTGGCCTCCTCACTGTGGGTGGGCTCCTCAATCTTAAAGGGGGGGCGGGCAGGTATTGGGAATAGGAGGAGGGGAGGCCGTGTGGCCCAGCACTGGTAGAGCAGGAAAACCCGGTAGAGCAGTGGTTCTCAACCTCCTGGCCCTTTAATACAGCTCCTCATGTTGTGACCCCACCGTAACGTTATTTTCGTGGCCACTTCATCCCTGTCATGTTGCTACTGTGATGAATCGTCATGGAAATATCTGATCTGCAGGATGGTCTTAGGCGACCCCTGTGAAAGGGTAACT